GAAGGGTGGGGAGGGTCGCGGAGGGGCGCGAAGCTGTTATTTGCAATGAAACGCAACAATTGCAATCGGAGTCGATGCACGGTGTGTCAGCGTGTCGTGTAAACGCGCCATATTGCCAGCTGGGCCGCTGCTGAAAAATAGTGTTTTTGTGCAAGCCGAAACGGCAGATATGAAACCAGCATGGCGGATGCTTACAAATAGTTGCAGGGCGGCGCCTTCATATAAATGAGCGTACCGGTTCGTTTCTCTCTCTCTCTCTCTCTCTCTCTTTATTTCCCTCCGTCTTTCTCTACATCTCCCTGTCTTTTGTCGCGCAGCGTACGTGTGCGAAAGGGCGAAAAGGATTCTGTGAATGAGAGACCATGCGCTCGTTGCTTCGGGGTAAGTGGAGGGAATTCTGAGAAGCGGCCCACCCCTTTTTGAATTAGGTAGCGACCATGGTGACTAAATAGGTGGATTTGAAAGTTGTAGCTTCGGTCCAGCTTCTGGATAAGATAACTTCCATGTTGGCAATTGTTGATTAAATTCAGATCAGATAGGTGTAGAGGTAATTTCTCATAATCGTTCCTCTGGAAACGAAGGTGAAAAGAAATTTATAATGATTATTCGCGACGTAATGCTACGCAGCAAAAAATCCGCTCCGAAATTTGCACACTTAATTATTTCGTTATTACAGAAGAGATCATTAGTAAGAGTCATTAAGCAATAAAACGCTTCCTAGTTGAATGTTACGATAATTTGCATAGAAATAAAGAATGTTGAATATTCAGGTCCGTTTTCAAAGAAACGGAAGTAGCGTCGTGTGAAGGAGAAGTGTAACAGATGTACGATGCTCGGAACAGACGCGTCTAATTTATGAAATTTCTTAGTGTCTGCTACAATTTTAAGGGTCTGTCAGTTTTCGTAGGAAACGCAGGGAAAAATTTTTTTGGAAAGTTTAAAATTATAATTAGACTATGGTCATTTACATAAATTCGTATTCTCATGAATTCAGCTAGTTAGCAATTAGGAGTTTTTTTCAATTTTTTCTTTAATGTCACAAAGACACAAATTCTTTGTATTGTATGTGATTTCCAATATAAAACCTCTTCTCACAATATGAATTTCATTGCTTCAAATGTACTATGTTTTAGATCTTTCATAAATATATTCGTAAAATATACATTCTGAATATTCTCAATCTCATCAACCTTAATAGTAGATGTGCACTATATATATGCATACACGCTGTGATTTCCTATTTCTGGAGTACAGGAAATATTTCTCCAATTCAACTCAATAGCAATTTTACATACTCTAAACTCAACTACTTGCTATAAATAATACTTATTAGTCGATCACTAGAGAATCGTAGCTTCCAGAACATATGCGTGAGAAACAGAGAAACGCGAGCATCCTCGAGTGATCCACTCTCATTTCGACATCATCGGTAGTAATTTTCATCGTAATTTCGTCAGCAAATCGTGAAAAGAGGAAACAATCAATTGACTTTACGCCAAAACTTCACTTTTATATTAATCCAAAAATTACTCCAAAAAAAAAAAAAAAAAAAA